ACTACAATGCAGGGTAGTATATACAATAAACAAAATGACGACGAAGTCCGTATCTTTAAACGTCAGATTTCTGAACCCGCGAGTTCATTTACGTACTCAGAAACGCACTGCAGTGCCTGTTCTTTGGTCGAGACACTGCTATAATTTTGTCGCGCTTCGGTTTTATATAAAACTGTCGTTTTTCGTTCCCGCATTTCATCAATTCACGAATTTGCTTTCTTCGTTATAGCTTGCATTTGTGCGGATGACACGGTCCCAAGAATACATTTTTAATTAACTGGCATTTTTTGCCATGGACCTAAACTCGTAAGAATTAAAACTCATTATATGTTAAACATTTCACATCCCTTTGTATATCATGAATATATACTTGTATAGATAGAAAAATGCCCAGTATTCTTTATGGTGGTCGGTAAAACTAATTAAATTACTTCCGGGAAGTAATCTATGCTGATTAGTGGAAGAGAACGAAAGTGAGGAAAGAATGGAGCGCGTTCGATGGTCTTACGCCAAGTTCTCGGAGGGTGAGAAGGCCCGGTCGAAATGTTGCGAGGATGAGTTTTCTGAGAAGCGTCCGAGAGGACGTGGGAATGGGGAAAGAAACGTGATATTCGCGTGGAGTGCCTGAAGGTAGCAGTGCATTTTACAAAACGAGGGCAGCAGGATGAGGCGACGGAAGATAAAAGGTTGCGGGATGAAGCGTTGTCTCACGAAGATATTCGTGGTGGCATTAGAGAGAGAACGAGAAATTACGAAGCATGCAGCGAGAAACATTTCCGAGAGAGGCTATTAAATATACTTCGTGAAAAATGTGGAAAAACAATAAAATTTCTGGGAATTGACGTTTGGGAGATGAGAGTTTATGTTTGATCAAGCTATTCCCGAGCGGATTTCGAAAGGATTTGGGGAATGATAATCCACACGAGACAATGTTGCCACTAAATCTTTCAAGAGAACGTAGCAGACACCTTTGGGAATTCAGGGGAAGCATTTCAACGTAACAGAACACACGACGGGAGGTGAGCCTTCTGTAAACGCTCCAAGAGGAGCGTGGAAATTGTGAGAGAGAAATCGAAGCGTCCGGATAATGCATAAAAACTGCGAGCATTTGTTCAAAAATGCTTAAGCCGAAAGAGGTGGCTCAGGGCATCAACCGATGTCACTGCAGTGCCTCGGATCTGGAGGTCCTGAGTTTCAAGTCATGACGGTGACAGGAATTTCGACAGTAGCTAAATTGCTACGGTGAATTCAGACTCTGCCTGGAGGAGAATACTTGCGGCCGGCCGCTCTGATGGTAGGTTTTCGTGGTTTCTCCGATCAATACCAGGCGAGTGCTTGATCAGTTCCCTAACAAACGGGCCTGGGACCCCGCGCAATTTTTCCTCCCATTCCTGGTGCACTCCTTCCCTATACTTGCACACACTATCGCTGCAATACCATCCTGGGGGACCGGTCGGAAGCTCAGTGATTGTCTCGGCTGGGGCGGCGCCCCGCTCGTAAGTGACCTGGTTGAGGAAAAAACCCTCTAGCTGATATTAGGTTGACACCGGATCTCGTCAGTCAGTGAGACAAGATCACCGCCACCTTCCGAGCAAAACGAGTTGTACAGTTGCGGGAATAATGACCTTAGCCGTTGTCTCTCCCGGAATCACTAGTAATTAATCAATGAATCAACATTTTTTCATAAAATCAGGGCAACTTCAAACCCCTGGAGAAGAGGAGCGCATTCCAAGCGCTCATGAGTAGCCAGAACTTTCTCAGATGGCCGAAGAGTAGTAGAATGCTCCGATGTGTAAAGAAACGAGTAGGAGTGAATCTTTTGCGAAGACAAAATATCTCGGTGAGTACTTACAAACATCGGTCGACTGCAACACACCTCATTGGGATCACTTTTAAATCCACAAGTCGAGTAGGCTCGGAAAGACTCGTGTATTTTCCATAAGAGCGTGATGAAATCGGGAATATTGCAATAGCGTTCGCCAACGGACATTTCTAGATTGGAATGCTACCAGGACACTGCATTTCCTCGCACCTTCTCTCTCGAGCGGTGCACACTCGAGCGCAACAAGTTTGAACGGTCTACGCTCGCTCACAGTGGGCTGATTCATTGGTCACAGCAATGGACTTAAAGGCTTTGCTCTGCTTCTTCTAATAGTCTCCCACGCTAATATTTCAGTTATTATAACTACACTTATTACATACAGGTGAACTGAATGTGTATGGAAATGTATCAAATTAATTAATATTATACTATTGACTTCCCGATCATAAGAATGTAGTTAATTCTTATCAAATAAATTTTCCTCCGTTAAGAATTTATGAGCTGCATTTATGTTTCATTCACTAACTGAGTTTGCAGCAATTTTAAACAAAACTACACTCTCACAATTTTTCACATAATTTGTATTGCTTGTTTAGACGTTTCAACTTAGGCGCAACTTTACTTTTGCGTTTCTCCATTAATTCACGATTCTAGAGGCTAAGCCATTACACTGGGTATTTTCAACCTAGCGCTTATTGCTTGTGACATTACGGGGAGCGAAAAACTATCATACTACATAGTAATTCAGAAGAGTTTTTTATTAACTCTTGTGATGCACGAGTGGAATCGTCTCGTGCATGACTATCCTGATAACAAAAGATAACATTCAAACTGATTTACACGTATGTGAGAGGGTTATGAGTGAGATACGGAGACGGCCATGGTCATCGGGAGCGCTTTGAGAGAGAAAGCAAGCGATAAGGTTGTAGAAGACATGAGTTTCGAAATGGGCGAGGTTTGAAACTGTTACAAGAACGCACGAACCAATCTGAAGCCCTCCAAGATTGCAAGCAAGCAGTAAGAATGCTTCCAAAAAGTATGCAAAGAACGCTGAAAGAGGGCAGGAATGTCTCTATGAAGGCAGCCAAGGATAGCGAGAGATCTGTGAGAACGCAAGCAAGCAAGCAATAGAGATGCACGGACGACGCATGACAAGCACGAGAAAAGGGTTGTGCTTTCCGAGAGCGTAAATGGAAACGCGAGTGCTCCAACGAGAAATGGAAGCAAAGGAATGCTGTAAAGAACGATAGAAAGAAACAAACAAACAAACAAACAAAAAGAAAGAAAGAAAGAAAAAAGAAAGGAAGGGAGGAAGAAGCCCTAAGAGCGGAAGGAAGGAGTAGAATCGATTCGCTGGGAAGGCGCTTGAGACCGGCAACATGGAACCGCAATGGCTGCGAGCCCGGTGTTGGGACAATAAGCTCGGAAGGGCGAAAGGCGGCGGCGTCGGAACGCGAATGCTTGCGGTGTGTGCAGTCGTGGCAGTGAGATCGCAAGATATCAGTAGGTTTTTCAGTTCGCGAAGCCAGGAATGGAAACCGAGCGCTGACAAGGGGCTCGATACCAGCAAACAGGGAACCATAATGGCAGCAAGCCCGGTGTTCAGCAATGGCACCAACCACTTCGGGCGCGGATGTGTTCGATGGGTAGACGTGACAGTGAGAATGCGTTCGTAGGCTTCCGCGGACGGAGTCAATACATTCTTGGCTACCCGGGATGAGCCGCGTCTCGGTCAATTGTGCTGACGTTTCGGCCATCTTGCTGTGGCCTCCTTCAGAGTTATACTGCTCTGCAGCATAGCCAAGAATGTAGTGACAGTGAGAGCGGTGAGAGCACAAGAGAGCAGAAGGAGTTTCACTTCTCAAAGACACGAACGGAGTGCGAACGCTCGAGACCAACCAACAGGAAACCGTAATGGCAGCAAATGCGGTGCTCGAGACCAAGCAACAGGGAACCGTAATGGCAGCAATCGCGGTGCTGGGAACAATACGCTCGAAAGGGCGAATGGCGACGGCGGCAGGGCGCGGATACTTTTGGTGGGCAGACGTGGCACAGAGAGCGCTCCGAGAGCGCAAGGAAGCAGTAGCCTTTTTGAACCGCGAAAACATGAACGAAATCCGGTTGCGAAGACGTGAACCGTAATGGCAGCAAACGCGATGCGTGGAAGGCAAGAAAAGAGTGCGAGCGCTCCGTGGGAATTCGAAATAAGGAGGAGTGCGGCGACTGTGATTCCAGCGATCAAGTGGCATGTGCGGCATGCCCAATGATCGTCACATTGCAACGATCTCACATCGAGGTTTTTATTTCGTGGGCAGATTTTTTTGCTGGCAGTAGGAGAGCCTAAAAAATCAGGAGAATAGTTTATCGAAGCTACGTAAAGAATACAAGTGCACCGAGAGCGCTCGAAGTCAGCCAATACGCCGCGTGAAGCCGACGATGACGCGACGACATGGGGTGCCTGTTGGGCCCCGTAATCGTCTACGAAGTGTTAACGGTTTCGGCGACGACGCAACGCGCGTTTTTCCCGGGGAGTAGTGGCAGTAGGAGCGTTCACGGGTGCTCGTACCAGCAAGCGTCGCACGGACGCCGCGATTCGGACACTGAAATGGCGTGCCGAATGATTGTCTCGGCCCAACGGTCGTCTCAATCCAACGATCTCGCGTCGACTTTGAAGCGCAGTGGGAGTACTCCGAGAGAAACCACGAAATGAGTCCAAGCGCTGCGAGGGTGCTTGACACAAGCGATTCCGAGACTGAAACGGCAGGGCCAATGATCGTCTCGATCCAACGGGCGTCTCAATTCAACGCTTCTACGTTGTAGCACGAATTCTTTCCGCGGGGAATAGCAGCGCATCGAGAGTGCAAAGGAGCACTAGATCAGTTTCGCGAAGCGAGAAATATTTGGAAGTGCTCCGAGGGTGCTCGAAACAATCAAGCGCGCGGCGACTGCGATTCGTCTGGGTCTAACGGTCGTCTCAATCCAACGATTTCGTGACGTTGCACCAAGAATCCTTTCCAAGAACAGACAAGGCACTGGGGGGGCGGGGGTTTTTTTTGGGGGCCGTCCGAGAGAGCTAGGGAACAGCAGAATTCCGCCGCGGAAAGCCCTGACGAGGGCGCTCGCGCTCCGAGAGCTGTCGCCCGCTACAAGCGGCGGCGCGAAGCGCGCGTAGGCCGCAATGCCCGACGCTGAGGCCGGCGGCGCGTGCCCGCAGCGGCGGCGCGGCGGGCGGCGGCGACGGCGGCGGGGCCGGGGGCGGGGCCGGCGTCGGACGCGTGGCAGAGCGCGGCGGCGGGCTCCGACTTCCTCGACCGAGGTGCGCGGTCCTGCGTCCGGCCACGCTGTAACCGCTTCCGGGTGCTGGCGGAGAACGCGCTGGCGCCGCGAGCCCAGCGCCCCGCTGCTGGTGCGGACGGAGGGGGAGTCACCCGGCGCAGCGGCCCCAGCAGCTCACCGTCGCCGCCACCGCCGCCGACCAGCTGCGCGTCACGTGGACGCCCCCGCCGCACCACCTCTGGAACGGTGACGTGCTCGGCTACTACGTGGGATACCGCGAGCTCAGCGTGTGAGTATGACCGCGCTCTGCCATCGCTCTTTGCGGCATGCACTTCTTGGCGAACTATATTGTATATAATGGATGTACGGGTTGTCTGAGCATAAATGTAACAAACTTCTACTGTATGAAAGGGATGTGACGATCATTTTTTGCCAATGATCTCGTGGTATGAAATCTCATAACGATGTCACACACGACTCAACGTTTATATCGCGTTCGGTATTGGTTAGCCACTTGTCATGCGTTGTGATTTGGCAGGTAAACCAGTTCTCAGACGATACGTGCTTAATGACAATGGCAATGTGTTTGATCTTAATTGATCAGCTTCAACTGCATCACACAGCGCAGTGCAGTAACCACACATGCATCAAAACTCATGCCCTTAAACGAAGAAATTCTGTAGATAAAGCTGAACAATACAGACAAAAATTTGGATATTGTCATTGGCAGTGAGCGATTGGTAGGCCACACGCCATGCATTGGGATTTGGAAAGTAAACAAACTCAACGGACTACTAGTTCACTGCCTATAACAATATCCAGCCTATATTGTTCTGCTTTGACTAGAGGACTTTCTCAATTTGATGGCCATGAATTCCGATACATTGTGGTAACGAAAATGCGCGTTCACATGCAGTCAGATCAATAAAGGTCAAAACATATTGCAATTGCCATTGTGTTGGTCATCCCATGAGCTAATTTCCTTCCAGGACGAGTTACCTAGCAATATGAAGCACGATGTCTAAATTGAAATTTGTGTAACTTGCCAAGAGATCATCAACCCCATCTCGATCAGGTAATGTCCAGTCTCCGTGATCCATTGAGCAAATGCTGAGATGGCCTTGTTTTGCTTCTGGACGTAAATGTATCTTCACTATGTGCGTGTTTTGTTGAACTCTCCTTTTGCTTGTAATGGTAAGAATAAAGGTAAGGGCGAGTTGCTATTTTGTTAGCAATGCAGAAAAATCATACTTGCAATTCGTGTACCGATGCAAATAACTTTTCTATAACTCAGAAACGAAGATGACTATTTTTCAAATATTGCTAATCTTGTAATTTTTAAAATTTATTTTTATAATGTTAATCTTTTACTCGTCTTTCAACTATTTATAGTTAAAATGACGGGAAGGGATTCTGGAACTCAAGAAAACGTGTGCAGATAATATTTTACCCCCTACGTCACACAGTTTTTACTGAATAAATCTAAATCTAAATCACGACTTGGGAATTTATTCTGAGTGACCTGCATATTTTGCCACCGTAAGTTGATAAATATTAAAAATTAAATTTTACGAAATGGCAACACATCTTACTATTATGTGATTATTGAAACTAATTTATAGCGTGAAGAAACAACTAAAACTATTTCATGTTAACTAATGATGTCAAATTTTTCTCTAAGTGTGAATAATTCGGCAAACTGACTTTATTTTTCTGGTATTTATGCTTTCATGAAATTTACGTTACATCTCTAAATACTCAGGCGCCCATTATTCCGCAACAAGAAGGCATTTAACCAATCCTTTGTATAGAAATGCTGGTAATGTTTAGAAGAATTCACTAGTACATGAAATAGTTTCAGCAAATGGTTGACTTATCATATGGGTCAAAAATACAATGAATGCAGGTGAGCCACATAAATTATATATTTTCTACAAATCTCTACACCAGTTATACGGAAATTGGATTTCGATACTCTTGTCTTTTTAATTATTAGTAACTTGTTGCCGAATAACTGTGAGTGCTTCGATTAATTTACTATCATAAATTGCAGGCTCATTAGAATGATTGAATGCACATCTCATTTCTTGAATTTTCTAGTCAAATTGAAAATGAACGTGTGGCTATGATCGGACTTTAATATAAGTATTCTATAACTCTGTACTGCAATTTAAGATCCATCCAAAGACAAACAATAATGAAAGACAATCAGTAATATAATACATTTGAAGGGTTGAACATACTAATACCAGTAGACTCAGTTACATGCAAGTTTCTACCGCAGAGGTGGCGGTGGTCTTTCCCCCGCTGGATAACTAGATCCGCTGCCGACCTACACATCAGCTTGCAGAATTTTCCCCACTCAGGTATCTCCCACAAGCGGAGTACTGCTCCTGCCAGAATAGACCCTAAACTTCAGACTAATATCCCTACATGTATGGCAATGTGGTGCATCTACGTTTGTGTGTGCGCGCGCGCGTGTGTGTGTGTGTGTGTGTGTGTGTGTAGTAAGAAGAAAGGACAAGGAAGATGAAGGAAAGATCGCGTGCGGTCCACGGCTCGGGTAAACTGCTTCAATATTCCCCAGAAGTTGACCGGAGAAACCACGGAGACTACCGATCAGAGCAGCCTGTCGCTAGAATTCTCTTCCAGACAGCAGCTGAATTCGACCTAGTTAGTGTCAAGTTGGTGTAGTTAGTGTCAAAAATCCTGCCACTGTCGGAAATCGAAACCCAAGATCTGCAGGTCAGAGGCACAGCAGTGACATCAATTTTTACTCTGAGCTACTTATGTCCGTTGCTTTGCTCAGATCACAAAAAATTATTCACAAAGTACCTGAATGAAGTACAATTTAATTTAATTTTGCATATATCTTTGTCGAAGTATTGTGATGACATAACATGTTATGAAAATAACATAATAAATGTTACACAAATAATTGACAATTTTATTATTTTTAAAAAATGAGCACTTTGTTATCTGTTTTTATTTAGTTTTCGTTAGATTTATTTCGTCATTTAAAAAAAGTTTGTGACGTGACAGTGAGAAGCAGAAACTTCAAGAGTTTTCTTGAGCTTTAAAGTTCCTATTCATCTCTTTTACGAAACATAGTTGAATGATGGTTAAAAGTACCAACAAACCGTGGTTAGCAATATATAAAAACAAAAAATTTTCATTCTCGAGTAACAGAAAACTTGTTCCAACTGTAAACCAACAACATATTTTGTTTCATAGTATTACTAACAAAATAGCAACCCACATTCTCGGCTCTACTCTTACCACAATTAGAAAAAGGAGATCTCAACAAAACGTGTGCATAGTGAAGCTACATTCGGCTCCAGAAGCAAGAAAAGGGGTATACTCCCTGCATCAATGAAACTTGACGAAGCTTGATCGAGTTGTCCCAAAAGCTGAAGCACAATATATGTTGTTAAATGATGCATTATATTCCATTGTCAAAATTCATTTCAGTTTTTGTGGATGTGTATTTCCTCTCCTGACACATATTCCTTTTTTTCTGTTTCCAAGTATTTTTTTTCTGATTGATCCTTCATTTATGTTCACGCCTCTTCCTCTTCAGAGAACTCTATTGTTTGAATGCCTTCATTAATCAGTGATGTATGATTATTTTGATCTGCTTATATAACCACAAGAAGTCATACGTCACTGACAGTGTGATCGGAGCAATATTACCTACATTCGCCTCGCAATACACAATGTATTCATTCACGAAAGATATATTCAACTGTTAACCTACCTTCAGTACCAGAACCATAATGTGAACTACCTCCATGGTCTTCCATCTCAAATTGATATTACTTCACGAACGGGGAAAGACGTTATCACCGTTGGTGTGAACTGGTCTATTTGTATTCTGCCTAAACGGTATTATGGACTTGACCTGGCGTCATTCTCACATTTCTCCACTTTATGGCCCACCAATAAGAGTAATTCTGTCAAAAATTCGCCAATTTCCAGCCTACGATTACAACACCTCTTCTTACGAAGAAAAGCGAGAAAATGTAATTTTTTTAAAAATGGTTGTTACTCTGATCGCTCTGATCGCACTGATAACTCTGATACTTTTATAATAATAGAGCTGGGGTGGGCTTGTTTACAATTATTCCTTCATCAGATTTCCTTGCTTAAATTTCACCTTGTGGTCCACACATTTTGTATTTTAGTTTGTATACTGTAAAGAGACTGTTTCTCTCAGTCGAGAATTTTCTCTCCTCGGTAACGAAGGTTATGAATTTTCTAATACGTTAAGAAATCTTCTTGAACTTTTCTTTCATTAATAATTCAACAATATGTTAAGAATGTTTATTTTCCTCGCAATGTTTTCCGAAATCTTTGTAAGCCGAATTACATTAGAATTCTTAATGAAGATTCTGTGGGAACAAGGGATGAACACGAAGTAACCACTTTACAGAAACAACGTAGATTAAATAAATACTGTTGAGCATAAATATCAATGAAAATCAATGAAAGCCAGAATATCAATGAAAAATATAAGAACATTTAATTAAGTAGTAAACATGTTTATTAGAGTTAAAAGGTAACAGTTAAGATTGAGGTGTTTACTGTTTTTCGTAGATAAATAAATAAATATAACTGAAAAATTGTATGTGTTGTAGAAGCTGCACGTATAGGTTGTAAACAATTATATTGAATTCAACTGTTGCCATTAGTACAATCTCTTGCAAAGCAGTAGATCAGTAATAAAAGACACGTCTCGTTACAATTCCTTCAGAAATGTGTTACAGCACAAATGAAGTATTTCCTGACACGAGCACGTCTAACGATTGCATCTCTTTATTACTGGTCACATGAAAGTCCGAAAATGTTTACTTCATTGGGTGTTATTTATGCTTCCTGAAAAATATGATTTCCATATGGTTTCGTGTAAACCATTCGAGTTTGCATAAAAATGTTTGACATTTTTATGACTATGTAAATGAATAACCAGTCTTAGTTTCAAAATTACTTTAATAAATTTAATACATTAAGTATACATCTATACCCTCAGTCAATCGTAATGTATAATTAGTTGTGAGAATGTAATTAAACGTTCGAAATGTTATGTCTAAAATTATATTTGACATATTTTTAACAGCAAATAAAATTTATTGAAGACGGCAGTTTTGTCCGGAAGAATGTATGGAAAATCGAATGTCTTAATTTCAATCAATTTTGTCTCTCACTCGAATTTGTCTAATAAACCAATAACTTGTAATCATAAGCATACTAACTACACAAGTTTCGGTTAAAATAGAATACAACACAACAATCCTGAAAAGTCTGTGATCACAATTCGATCAATAAAATAAAAGAATTAATTATAAAGAGAGTAGATTGTTCAGAAAGAAAACTAGAAAACTGAGAGTGATAAAAATCGAATTTCCTTTTAAATATATAACTAAGGAACAGTTTGATAAGTCTTAATTTTTTGGCAATTGTTTGACAATGTAAAAAAATTAAAACAAAACTGCGAAACAATCCTTCATAATCGGTAGAGAGTAGCCTGAGTTCAACACATGTGTGCATCAACAAAACGAGTCTTGTCACATCATACCCAGCCATTTGATGTGGATTTTGCTGGAACAATTTCGAGTCAAATAATATCAAACATCTTAGCTCCTTGTAAGATGAGCATGGTTGGAAGACGTACCAGGAGCAATTGTGAATTCACATCATTCCTAAAATTATAGTTTAAACAGATATGTAAAGTTCATTCATGGAAGCCATGACCAGAACTCTAACAATTGAGAATATTTCATCTCGTAAAACGAAATATTTTCTGGTCTCTATAACACTCCGAACCATTAACCTTTAGATAATACAATAGTTACAAAGGGATAAGTTATTATTAACGTGTATTAATTTTTAACGTTTAGCATTTGATTCATATGCTCCAATAAAATTAAATTCGGTGATTTTTCACTTCCTCATATGCGTGGTATAGAGAAAATTATCAAATGATGCAGAAAAATTAGTTGATGAGATTTTGTTCCTGAGATCATCGGCTCCTATCTTCTCCTCAAACGTCAGCAACTCATTCGAATGTAGAACTCTAACTTTCTACAACTTACGTAAATAACCATTTATTTCACATGGCACGACATCATCCATGAACTCTCTATAGAGCTAATGCCTTACAAGATCAGTGTGGATGGAATACATCTACAGATGTCCGTAATCAGCCCATTGCCTTGACCTGAAGTTGGGAGTGAGGATACTTTGCGTATGGAAGAATGACATTCTGTCGTTTTTGAAGATTCTGCTACGGCATCTGATTGGAATTTGTCAGATTGATTGATTAGTGATTCCGGGCGCGTCGACTGCAACGGTCATCATTCTCGTAAGTGTAGTGTATATTTTTATCGCGGGAGATGGTGAACTTCCCTCGCTGGATGGCGAGATCCGGCGCCGAACTAGGTCACCTTGAGGTAATTTTCCCCAACTCGGTATATTCCCCCAGCGTGGTACCCTCCCAGCCAGGACCAACTCTTAGGCTCTCGATTAGTCTCCCGACAAGTGCGTAGTGTAGAGCATGTGCATGTGTGCATGTAAGTAAGGTATGGGGATAGGAAGAGGAAGGAACGAGTGCACATGATCCGTGGCCCGTTTGTTAGGAAACTGGTCTGGCATGCTCCTGGTGTTGATCGGAGACACCACGGAAAACAACAGATCTGAGCAGCCGGCCGCGACAATTCTCCTCCACAGAGCGGCTGAAATCGAATTTGTCAGAGAAAACGACGGAAATTACTGGCCTCCTGCCCTGAGGAAGCCTGCAACAAGACGGCCTCTCTGCCAACGACGAGGCGTCACCCGGACAGCTAAGAAGTCATGAACTGGATCCGCGGAAGCTTACGTCTACGAATGAGAAGCAACGGCAAAAGCAACCATTCTTTCATTCTACCTCTGGGGTTACTAATTCCCCTGCACCTTCTTCATACATTGATCAGACTTTATTTTCATCATTACATACACTCCCCGCTTATCTATTACTATTTGCAATTGTTACATTTCTTGCGAGAAACCTGATAATTAACCTAATAATTATGTAACAATTTTCAAATACTTCTTCTTGTTCACTATTCGCAATCGCTGCAGGTTGATATAATCCCACGAAATACTACAGTGAGGTGAACGTGGTATAAGACGCGTTCACATAACTGCCCTTCATTCAGCTCAAATATAAATAAATGTTTAAGTACATTATTAATTTGGACAGTGGGAATTGTTCCTTTTTACTATCTACTATGCTACAATACGTAGTATAGAGAAAGTTCTTTGATGTTGCAGGGAAATTTGCCGACAAAAATCGTGGTAGAAAAATCCCGATTAAGAATTTCCCCGTGATAGCAATGTGCCTGCATTAGCTGTGATGTTATGCTGGGAATTCCAGAAGACTGTAACCGTGTCAAGTTACAGAGACGCAGTCATAATACAAAAATATTTTAGGTTTTTATATTTTTCGAAGTATAAATTCAGTAATAATGAAATTGACGCCAAAATTTCAAGAATATAACACAATACATCAACATTAAAAAGTTAGCTTCTTTATTGTGTTAAACGTTCTGTTACGACGTGTTTCACCATCTCTTCCTCATATTTATGCAGTGTCTAATTTTATATTACAATTATCATTCTAAAAGTGTGCCATCGTTCAACGACTGACTTCATATTGAATACCCGTGTACTATATGTCATGATACAAATCTTGCATTATTTCTGATCACGGTGACACAGGCCAAAAAATCTCATTGTAGCGGCTAACTGACAACACTGCTCATTTTTTAGGAATATCGTGGTCGGATGTTTGCGTCGGTTTGGAGAACGAAATAGGATCTACGTGTATCGCTCTCATGCCGCATCATTAGTATGCCGCACGCATCAACGAGTGCAGGCATCTGCCGTGGAGATATTAATTTGAGGCGTCTCCTGTCGTCTGTATTCACCACGTTTGGTATTGGTCAGTCGTGAGAAAGGCACGCGTCTTCAGAGGACCAAAATGCAAAGCGGCTGAGCGGGACAAGTCTGATGATCACCGATTCAATCACTTTCACACTTTTTATCAGGGTACTATGTTCTATTTAAGTAAAAAATGAAAAGTAGCCATTTTTTAGAAGATTTTAAAAATGATTTACATAAAGTACTCTCAAAAATTAAATGAAAGGCATTGACTGAGTGCAACGTGACAAAACTTGATAAAAATGATTGCGAAGGATTACTCCATACCAGCGTTCAACTCCCAAGAAGAGTACAGAGTTGCGTTGCGTCAACAAAGACCAAACATTTCTTTATTTAAAAAAAATATATCGAAATATTTCATTGATTTATTGATTGGTTCATCATTGGTTGATTGATTGATTCCTCCACTCATTTTCTTTCTTTCTTCTTCTTTTTTGGTGAGATTTAATATTGTTAATGTATCACTTTTGAGAAAACTAATGTATCATCTTAAAATATTGTTTGTGCTGGAATTTATTTTATTATTTTGCGTTGGTAACAATGTTCCAAGTCTTTATGCAGTTAGGGAACACAGAGAAGACCTACTGTGACCTTCCCTGACCGCCTGTATCCTGAAGGTCTGTTCGTTCTGCATCGAAGTGCCTGAACAATTGCACTCCTCTACATGAATAAATCGTGTGACAGCACGTACTACACATTTTGAGAAACGCACAATGTTATTACAGTCACGTTTACTAGTCATGTTACGTGCGCATAGAGCTGCTCACATGGCGCGATCGATGGGTATTCTAAAGACAACGTGCAAACACATCTGAGCACAGAGGCATCAAATATTCCCTGAGTTTCTAATTTTGCGACCGATTGGACTTTAAGAAAAATAGCTTTTCTACATTGTCCTTCAGAGATGATAAGAAAGAGCAACCTGTTTTTTTAACATTTTAAAAGCATGCATTCTTAGAAGACTCTTTATTTTAATTTATCATTAATATAGTTTTTAAGGTACAAAATATTTTTTTTAACTTCTAACATTTGTCATGAGGCGTACTAAAACTCTGTACGTGCTCGCAGGCCCGGCCGCCAGCCTGGCTATACCTTCACGACGGTGACGGACCGCGGCGGCGCCTCCACCCTGGCCCTGCTCTCGGGCCTGCAGAAGTACAGGAAGTACGGCGTCGTGGTGCAGGCCTTCAACGAGAAGGGCTCCGGCCCCATGTCCAACGAGGTGGTCGCGCAGACTCAGGAAGACGGTGAGACAACCAGGCTTACTGTACACAGTCTCTGAGGAGAGTTTTCGATCATACGTTCAACACAATATCGCATCATGAAAATTAATAAATCACAGTTTGTACAATAAAAAAATATGTTCTTACATATCAATTTTTGAGGATTTATATGGTATTGCGTAAAGTCAAATTTATGATAACATGTAATTTTATGTGAACACATTTCCCAATACCGCTAGAATCGATTTAATTTAACACTGTACTGATATAACACTATATATTACACAAATTACGAATAGTACTACACAGTAGTTCATTTCAGATTACTGTACCCCGTATCCCAAGGTATATCCCGTTAAGCGGTTTGAATCAATGGAAATGCGAGTTTGGATCAGAATATTGCTTCACGACTTTAAGCCTGAATATATTTATCATTTAGAGTTTTTGAGTTCTTTGAGATATTTTGGTACAGAGTTTTTGAGTTTGATTTTTTGCGGGACAAAAACCGGAAAATTTTTCTGGTCATCTGTCACTTATTACCGTAAAGCTTAGGTAAAAATATAATTTGTAAGTTTTAATACTCTTTCTTTACTGTATGTAAGGGATATTCACAGATCTCTTGATACATATTACCGCATTATCTCTTAAGACACATTTCCAATCTGAGACACAATAGCCTACACTTTTGTTTCGGAACTATTCCACGTTTCAGAATAATGCATGCTACTTCAATTAGTTGATAATACTGTCAGAATATATTTCATAGAAATAATAGGGATGCACTTCCAATCTGTATCGACATACATCTCTGCACAGGGAATTGACGGTGTGAGACGTAATAATTTAATTTAGCTAATATAAAAAAAATTTTTTTCTTGCGGATAGAACAGTACTAGAAAACCGAAATTGAACTGATTTGTAAACCAATGTCGTAGTAGATCATTTCCTTATAGAGAACTTAGAAAGCTACTGCTTCTCATTGCGCACTCTTTTGGAGAAAACAGGTACACTGCAATCCCCCGATTTGATGTATACACTGCCATGTAAAAAGTAGATAGTATATAAATCCATGTATTTTATACAGAGGTACTACACGGTGATAGTATTTTCAACATTAATATTGATACGCAACGAATTATTTTTTATACTCTTCCAAACAGTTAAATGTTGGAGAAAATTAGAATTGGAATAAAACAGATAAACCCCACAAAACTAGAATAAACAGGATATTTTAATCAAATGCATTCTTATAACCATACATAATGTTTATTTTATTCCTGTACGCACAGCTTCAAACTAGTATTTCTGTTTGCTTTTGTTGTTTGGAACACCAAAACTGTAAAATCAATTGCAAATATTCTGTAACAAATATTATAAACACCTCTTGGCTCAAATATCCTTTCTTAGTCGAGTTTCGCTCAGATTCCCTTCATTCATAGAGCAAATTGAGAAGATCTCTTTCCTCCGTGGCAAACAAGTCAGCTGTTATATTTTTAAAGTAATGCAGGACTATTATAATATCGAATTAATGCACCCAAACAGAGGAAGGAAAAGCCGCTCATAACGGCCGGCTGTTTATCATTATTAGGTCGATAAACACAGAACAGACACTAAGAATGTAAGAGAAAGAGAGAGTGCGAGAGACAGTGCGAGAGCGGGAGAGGGAGCGGGAGCGGGAGAGGGAGAGGGAGCGGGAGCGGGAGCGGGAGAGGGAGAGGGTGCGAGAGCGGGAGAGGGAGAGGGTGCGAGAGCGGGAGAGGGAGGCAGAGAGCGGGAGAGGGAGGCAGAGAGCGGGAGAGGGAGGCAGAGAGCGGGAGAGGGAGAGACATAAGGGGTGATGGAACTGTGCGTGAGCATTGGGGCGCGGCGCGTGTTCCCGGTGCAGTGCCGAGCGCGCCGCCTGTGGACATCAAGTGCTCGGCGCAGGGCCCGCAGAGTGTCACTCTATCCTGGCACCCGCCGCCGCCCATCTACCAGAACGGCGTCATCGTCGGCTACAAGGTGTACTACGAGAACACGAACGAGTGGCCGCCAGGTAGGTGCAAGGCGCACTCGCTCTTCAAAACTGATTTACGAGGCAGGGCTGCCCCGTTCTTCTTCGCGGTTTTTCGGTCGCATGGCCGGTTACTTTCAACTCAGGCTCTCGCGTTTCAAGAATGGTAATGATTAAGGAGCAGATTTTGATGAACTAAAACATTTACAAAAATGATATTATATTATAATAAGATTATCTAATATTCTTCCAAAATGCCACAAATACAAAGAAAAATTACGTAAAAATTGATCTAAACCACTTCAGATGACTCAACTCAAGCTGTTGTGTATGTTACTGATGTAATCGAGGTTTCTTGCTTTTGTTCAAGTGCACTCAGCCTGTAAACTTTTGGTTTGAACTTTTTTTTAAATAAAATCTCTGCCTTTATTTATCACGAAATTGGCCGAATTGACAATTGCACTGAAAGGTGTCACAGGAGCTTTAGATTACATAGTACTCACAACTGCTGACATTTCAATATGTGAGCAAAACAATCGACCGGACAATATTGTTTGAAGGGAATACCATTCAAATGATATTAAAATCAATTAAATCAGCGAAAATGCATTAAAAATTATGTAAAGGGTAAAAAATGACATATTAGCCGAAATCGACGAAAAATGCAAAAATAGACAAATAAAAATGGGTCATTTTGTTTTGTCATTGTATAAAATGAATTTGTGTACTAAACTGCATTGTTCTAAAGTGAAAAGAAATATTAAAATCCGCCCCCTAGTAATTGCATTTTGTTTTTCCCAAGAAAATGCGATCAGAGTTTACAATGAACGAGAGACAAGCCAAAGTGCGAGCATTTCAGTTCCATTAGTTTCCGGTTCTTGAAATCACTTGAAAGATATTCGACAGGAATAGTTTATTATCTCTTTATAAAGGAAAATAATCTTGATTTCGTCCAAAATATACAGTGCTACACGTATGTTTCTTGTAAGTCTTTCAATTTTTTATGACCAAGCTCATATCAGCAGCACTTACAACATGCCTTCTAAAGTATTATTGACTGTATAGCAAAATTAACTTCATTGAAGAATAATTTACTCCCTCCCATTTTAAAAATGATCAATTTATTCTGGATTTGATATTCGAATTCACGATTATATATATATATATATATATATATATATATATATATATATATATATATATATATATATATATATTATTTTATTTGGAGTATAAAATATGCACGATTGCGTATATTAGTTTCGATGTACAGCAAGTCACGCAGGATATTCCTAATTTGTTATTTTCTACATTGTATTTTGTCAAACTACAAATTGCTCAAACACGTAAAAAAGTAGATCCCCTTGTGTTAGAAATCAAGTTAGGTCAATATATTTAAAGTAAAAAGTGCCATCACAAAGCTAATAACTACAATGATGAGCCCCCGTGTCCTGAATCATTTGGTGAAATGTTCACCATAATAGCCTGAAACACTAAGAGAATATTCAAATTTTATTGACTAACCCGATATATGATATGTATGTGTTATGTATTGTATATGTATTGTACTTAATATTCTTACTTTCCTCAATAACTTGATTGAAATCAAATATAAAATTCTGTGTTGAATCCCCAAGCTAACGCACATCTAATTCATGTAAATGAGCGCTAATTCCAGAAATGGATTTACTTATCCCTCCCTTATTACAGAAGCATTCATCGAGTACTACTTACTGAAAGCAGTTTCGCTCAAATATACATAAACAATTTAACAGTGCTTCGGAAACACCGACCCAATTTACGTAATGCTCAAGCCGATGAGGGAACTTGTGGAAATCTTGCCTGAGCTTGCTGTGCTCTCTGCACGATTGAAAGGATTTTCTCATGGAACACTCCGCGAAAGTCGAGACAAACAACCCAATCGAACATCGGCTTATCAGAACGAAACTCCAATTTCTAGTCAGTGAAATGGCGGCAATAGCAAACGTTTGCCTTCTCTTCTCTTCTTATCTGGAAAATTGGTTTCTTTTCAAACGGACCGATTTGTGATTTATTATTAGTCGAGATGTTTCCTGTGACTTTGCTAACAATGATAATTGCTTCCACATGATCATGCGCGATGTATTGAATCATGAACATGAGAATGAGATAAATATATGACTAGTGGCGTTTTTGTCAACGCACAATTAGATACGTCAATGATAATAGAACGTTCAAAACAGATATCACTTCACAATCTCTCAACCCACGAGAAGTATAAACTTATGATACATTTTTACCTTAACAATACATAACAGTACATACATACCATACCATAACAATACATACCACAACACTACATAAACAGTACAACATCGCTAGGTAATTTATAGATTATATCACAATGCAATCTAAATGAAGATCATAAGATTAGTGTGTGAAAGACGTGTTTGTTTGTGGAACTGACTGTTCATTATCTTATCGTTCGAGTATCAACAAATATTCTGTAGTGCACGGGTGTGTTCTATTAAAGAAAGACTATGTAGCTCTGACAGAAGTGGCATGGAGAGCATCAGAAACGCATACGACCGTCATACTATAATATAAGGAACGGTTTTTCTCAATAATTTGGGACACAAGGAATGTGAATCGCCGGAAAATGAATATGACTTATGGAAGAATGCAAAGAAGTACAAATTATCTGTAAAGAAAAGGAAATCATATGTTCCACGGTACATGCGAGAAAACAGAACTTAAATTAATATAATGGCAGTAATATGAACTTCATCGATATTCATTGGAAATTAAATCATCTGTTACCGTGCAAAAAAGAGTGTCTAGTTTTAAGGCTTCCTCTCTATATTTTTGTTACAGCATATACAGAAAAAAGGTTTACACGCACTCTTGACTTTTGCCATATTTCTGGAAGTTCTCCAATAACTCCACAATATTAGTAACACATGCCTTTCGTAACTGAGCCTTATTTAATTACCGTTTTGATGAATGTACGCTATCGGTAATTTCAATGGAATCTTGAAATTTCATTCGCTATACACCGCATTTCAGCAATGTATAAATTTTCTCCTGGTAATATCAATGTTATTTCACGAGACCGTTAGAAATAAGAATTGAAAATATTCGAATATTAAACATAATTCCGTTAAATTTTCGACTCAATACTTAAAGTTCTTAAACAAAATTTATAACATTCAGAGTATTTTGTACACTTATAAATACATTATATAAGATCAAAAACTATTATATGCTTAAAACTTGTTCATGGAAATTGAATAAATGTTTGCTTACAGTTATAGAATGCCTTGCGTATATGCCTAATGTTCCCTGGCTAATTTCGTTGACAATGCACCGTTTTGCGTCTCTTGCAACATGCGTCGCTTTTCCTTGTCAAGTGACGATGGTGGGCGGATCTCTGTTTTTCAATCTTTTAAATATCATCAACCTTTTAAATACGCTTTTTAATAATAAAAATCATTCTGTATTCATAATAATCATCCTGTAACCAGACGAACTGATCATTTTGAACGAACGATCAATATTTTCGTTTTTCAGTTATTTTAAATTTCTATCAGTATCGCATTGTAAGCGGTTTCTCTTTCACATCGTCATTCACCGTGCTTCGGAAAGAGGCATCCACAAGCGAATCGAAATAATATCTTATGGTTGGTTGAGCAGAAAGCGGAATAGCGCTTGCGAAGTGCCCGGCGGCGCGGACGACAGTGGAGGTGGCCGGAGTTTGACCGAGGAAGTTTCCCTCTCGAAACTCGATTTACAGTTGTGCGGTATCTCTGGAGTCCCTGAACTAGATATTGACTCTGCCTCGATATGTCAATTCCTCTCAAGAAGAAAACGAAAAATATCCTAAGATCAGGTTTACGAGACTTTTTTATATTATTTTATTTTCTATTTGATCAACAAATGTGTCTTATAAAGCTGTTCCCTGTATTACACAAGTTAACTTTTCGATCTATACATCCCAGGACTGCTCAAGATTTTCTCAAGTTTTATATTTATATTTTATATTTATTTTCTTTTTTGAAGGTTACTTCATTTCATTTTTCTGTGAAAAATCTCACTATGGATCAAAGTAAAGACATTTCTCCTTTAAATATTTTTTTTTTCATAGCGCTTATCTTTTGTCAAACATTGTATACTTCTCTAGAATAAAAGATAGATAAACATTTACAAAATTTACATATGATATTATGTATGTGAAGAAACTCAAGAATCACATTTTTAAAATTACCAGAACTCATATTCTGGTACGCACGTAATTCAGTTATTTTCTGGTCAAGTTTTCTTTGTAATACAGTACGTTATTATATCTGCATAACGCAACCCTACAGAGGAATGAAATGGTAATCTTAATGGCCGCCGTCCGTTAAGAAATTAACGCGCGCGGCCCTTAAGCTTCGAAGTCATCTTCAAATTATTTATTAATCTTCGAAAACAGAAGACAAACAATATAAGTAACATACCAACATACTCGTAAAACATGAATAACAGATACATAAGCAATTTTCAACTTTCAATTATAGTATTATTATTTTCTACTTATAATTTCTTATTACAGAAAATCTGAATATAGAAAGATTATTAACCATTATTATTATAATTTTTATTATAATTTTTATAAGAGGTCGAAGTGGTTACGTTGACGTGCTTGAATCTCTTGATGTTTATGCAACCTCCTCGGTGTTGAATTTTTTATTCATTTCTATAGCGATTGTTCAATATATTTTTCTACTAGTGACCAGGACTCCCAACATGCAAGTTCTTTCAACGGAAGCAGACCATTACCGTTTACGACTACCATTGTGGCCGGTGATCGCTGAAAACAACACCCTATTTAGAGATCAATAGTCTAGTTTTAAATTTCGCTATATTTTTGGAGTGTCTCCTATTAGTTGTATACCCACAACTTGTTTAATTCATTTCCCATTTCTTTATTCTACGAAAAGGCGTTTCGTTTCTAGGTCACATAGACGGAGGTTAGAATATTTTAATACAAATCACATGCATATAATGGAAGACTGTCTTTGGGTATTACAAACATTTTTTGTGCAATTCAGTGTAACTAGCACTCCGTTGCTCGTTGTTTCTAAAACATCTTTGATGAATGAAACAAGTTTGTCTTCTCAAAATGCCCTAAAAATATCAAAAATTACAATAACTTTTTTAAGAAGCCATTTTCTTCCAGTATAATTTCTCTAATATGTTCTTACGATAAAATCTTGGCCTTCTTGTACTTGTCGCACCTGAAGAAACAATCGTATAGATTTTTTCTAATGGAAGACGGTGTTGCACTCTTACGTATGTAAAAGCAAAGGTTTTTCTAATTAATATTATTTTTTTCATATAAGAAGATGGTATTATGAAAGTAATGAACAACACACAGCCGATATCACAAATAATAGGCTCGGTTGTATATAAACCTCTTCTGCTATTTGGTTTTTATCGGCCAAATGACGTTAGTATCTATAACGTTCATTGTGATTTTATGATATGAATTTATCATCTCAATAACATAAAGCTTTGTTAATAATAACTAAATTCAATTGTTCCCTTTGTATTGTATTATGATTACAATATTTTGTTGAAAATGGAGAATGGAAATAAAATTGATACGACTGCTCTTCATTAATAATCAGTCGATCATTGTAGAAACACTTACAAATGACCAAAAATGTGACGAAATCCGTATTTACTACGACATATAAGTCATATAGGCGTAAAAAAATTAAACAAGGTCCATTAAACTGCAATAAAGGATATTCACTGTTGCGACTCACAGAACTAACGCTGTCTGAAAATACACCATTTTATCACTTTCGCTTGAGATACTGATGCGTACATCAAAACAATATGCAAAATGGGCAATCTACATGCTTTTGAAAGGCTCTGTGCGATCCCCATCAATGGGGCTACTGGGATTCTTTATGAGCACGGCCTCCTTTGTGTGCCCTGCGCTTCAGGATGGTACAATGGGTCTTGGAGGTTCGGTAGCGACGATATTCTCTCCCGAGCAAGGTTTCACAATGCAACATTATGCGTGAGCCCCGAGACTAAACGCACTGCCATTTCGACATCATCATTAACTCTCTCGCTTTGAGAATAAATCCCTTCAATGGCGCACCAATAGTTGCGGCACAATTTATTTCAAATTTCCATTTTCGTGTTTTATCAAAATTCGACAGATAAAAAATAACTTTGAAGTATTGAACAGTATTCCGTTCTGAACATTCTAAATTGTCCAACTAGATTCCAACTCATAGATGAATAGCAATTTGAGTACAAGGGTATTTTGAGAACACAACACGCGACGAATATCGTTGAGAATTTCATTTTTAACTAAACCTTGATAGTTCCACTTTAATTTTAAAATTAGTTTTTCGTATTGTGATATAAAAACATTGTATTCATTAATATGTACGCACTTTATTTTTGTATGCATTAATGCAAGGCTGTCATGCATTCTACTCGTACTACGAGTATTCTCCTTGCGTATCATTAAATAATGATATCTACGTGAACGTTGTACTAGATTGTCAGTAATACGAATATTGTGTAATAAATTAACATTTATTTTATTATTTAAACAATATTTTTCGCATAACTCAATATCATAAGTTTGTAAACCGTTACATGCAGTTCCAAAGGTTAAAGTTAAGTATGCAGGTATAGAAGAAGGAATATAACATAATATAATATATAATATTTTATTGTTAGAAGATATTTTAATTAGTTTGACTTTCTTGGAAACTATCGCAACAACAAATAGTAGTTTTTGTGGTATAGTGGTATAGTGATCATCGCTCAATAAGAAATATTGTTTGCATATTGTTCGTGTCAGAATTTTTGTAGAGATAACAAATCTTTAAAAATCAGGACGACGAACGAATATGCGGTCGAAAGTGTATTAGAATCAAGGATAATATTAATCATGTTCACAACTCAGGCTTTGTATCACAGGCGTCATAGAAGCTGACACGAAGACCACTCCAGAACCTGGCACGGACTTGCACGGTCTACGCAAGTTTGCCAACTACAGCGTGCAGGTGTGGGCATACACGCGCATCGGGGATGGAGTTAAGAGTAGCCCTATCTTCTGTCTCACCAACGAGGATGGTGAGTATTTGGCGCTGCGGGAAATATAGGGGAAAACCATTAACCCATAAGTAATTTACATGAATAACAATATTAGATAGCAAAAATGTACATTAAATAATTGAAGTGCAGTAATGCTGTAAATATTAATAAATGCAGAGATTAATGAACAAAGAAATGTATTGAAGCCCGCGGAGACAAATATTTTTGATTATTCATAGAAATAATATAGATTATGGACACTCGGAGATATTGTAATCAAATCTTTAGAAACTAAATTGAAATCCATAAATACACAAAATTGATATTCATCATTAAAAAAAGTTAAAAAGTTAAAAACAATCAAGAAACTAACTGAACTGCCTGGAAAAGTCTCAATTTTTAAGCTATCATCAATGTTCAATGGATAAAAAATAATGAAGAAAAATTATCAGAATTAAATAATCGAAATCTGTACAAAATTACATGGTAACTTGAAAATTAGTAACATTTATATTTTATTAATGTTTTTTTTACATATCAAAATTAATTCTGTCCAATTTCATCTGTGGACATAGTTCCTTTTAAAATGGGTTTCTAAAAGCAGTTGTAAGCCGCGTTTAGTTTATTTCTGATTGCGTTGAATGTTCTTTCTTAAGCAATTTATTTTCTTCAAAGTTTTCAGATTTCTAGTTATCACAACATTAAGTTCTGGCATAGCTATATTCATTAAACTACTAATGTATGAAGATTCAAAATTCATTAATGTGTACTACGCTGTTTTCTTTCTTGCAAAAAACGAAAAACAACACTATTATAATTTTTGCAAGTGTCACCGTGAAATTCAATTGCCGATCAACTGCATGCGGCAGCGACTGGAAATCAACTCGTGCCAGTCGCCGAGGCGACATTTAAGCAATTAATGAATCTATGAAACTCATTGCTTTTGACTGTATCGTGAGTCACCGTAGATTATCTGTGAATTTAGTCGAATATTTGGGAACACTCCATCAATGGTTGCTCTGCTCATAGTGTCAGTACAATAGTACGGAAAGAACTTTCAATAACGGTATCTTGATAATTTTAATGTGTTTGATACACCTTCATCTCGTTCAAAACATCTGCATCGTTGGAATATTTCGAATTCTCTGGTATTTTAGTCAATTTTAGAACTTATTCGACTTAATTCACTCTGGCCTTTCAGGTATTTTACATACGTATCACGCCACGACGCATTAATTTAACATTGATCTACGTCTCTCTTTTGTGCATAGATAATACTATGTTTGATTTATGTTGAATAATATTTGTCTATCCCTGAACATTGATAGGCTAGGGAGAACTCATTCTAACCAAGAAATTCCATTAATTTCAGCGTTTTGGTTTGGAATAGCAAGGACAAAATTGAGATTTTAAAACAAACTCCCTCCATTAGACTGTGCAGGCGAAAAATCACCTTCATATCCATGTTTGAGCCAAAAGCGGTTACCAAAAAAGCCATGCACCTCTTTGAAAATGTGCAGGATTAAAAATTATTGTTAAATAACAGGGATGAAAAATGCTTCAAATATAAATACACGTATTTTAATTTATTATTGATATTAATAACAAATGTATTTTAAATTATATTTTAACCATTATCTTCGGGTTAAAATTCAAATCAATTCTAATAAAAAGTTTGATAAATAAGAAAGCGTTATTTAAATATTTTATTTTGAATAGTCTTACAAATTACAACACTTCTGTAGAAATAATTAAAATTATTAATAAAAATATTTTATTATTATAAATTAATTAACTTTTAAAACAATGTCATTTTTAATTTTTTTAAATTACTGTCCCGGAAGTATTTTTGAAGCCGCTCTTGAGTTGACCGCTGAAAGCAAATATGAGACCGTCCGGAGCGCGACGAATATAACCTGATTGCCTCTCACGATCAACATTTCTTTAGCCTTGCCACCCTGTTCAAATAGACACAGCCCTATTGCATCTCATTAGGTAGTAATTTTTTGAGCTTTAACTTTTATATTTTTCCTACCTGAAATTTTGCTGAAATATCCTTCTTCACACTGTATTTCGTTTCGTATGAACACTCTTCGTTATATATCATCATGTTCTATTCTGTCTTTTACATACATTTGTTCTCTCTTTTCTTAGCAATTTCTCACTATCCCATCATCCCACTTGGTCGGCTTCGTAATTACGAGAAGAGCGTGCATGTTGTTTTCGTATTCAATACGTTCCGAAGAGGAAAACGGCAACCTTTTAATTTAACTTTTGAACACTGAACTACACACAGACAGACCTCTTACAAATTTGGTAACACAATGCGGCAATAGAAATTTAGATTTATCCTGCAACAAACACTTCTAAGAGCTCTGAAACAATATTCCATCATTATAATTCTAACCATTTAGCAAGAAAAAGATAAGTAGAATACAATGTCATCATCGAATTCAATGAATGGTGATAAATGGAAAAAAAAGATTGTCACAGTTTTTAGATGTACTTTCTGCAAGAAAAGCGAATTCAGTTAACAGAAAATACCAGAAATCTTACTACTCTATTACATCTTCTGTGGCTCATACTCATTAACGGTTCGTCCTTCCCTTACTACCATATAATCCGGCTATGCCTTTTGAGAAGGCAGAAAGAGAGAAGGAATAAACTAGGACGCAGGGGAGCGGGTCACAAAGGTGGATTCAGACAGTATTTTAGTAGAGTTCGGACTTCCATCGGTTAACAAACTTTTTGAAACTGTTAGCTTGAAATACAAATATTTGTTCAGAATATATACAAGAAATTCACCGCATTCAACAGTTAATACTATTTTATTTTTCACAACGTTTCAATCTTGGGCTTGAAGTTTTCATCAGGTAGAAGGTAAATTCCCCCCCACAGGATTGAAACCAGGTGAAAAATAAAATATAACTATCTTGAATATGGTCCATTATTAATATATTGCATCAATATAAAAGACGTAAATAATATGGAAATAGTCTTCAACGATGTAATGCAATGTAGTGATTGTATCAAATAAATTGAGTGAAATTATGGTTCTCCATATTCTCGGGCAAGTAAATCGATCCCTTCCTCATAGGCAGGATGAGGGACAATAGTTAAAAGCAGTAGCCGATTTGCATTTGCAGATAGGTTTTAGAGTGATATTTTAAAGTGAATATCTTATCACTTCTTTCTAAAAGCGCTCGTTTGCACATGTATTCATGATTCAACTTTCATATAAGTATGGGTAGGAACCCAAGGATTTAGGAAAACGTGTACAGAATATATTACTTCTACCAATAGCGCTTCACACAGAGCTAGCTGTTTTATCTTTAAATTAAGAAACAAACAAAGAAACAAATAAATAAATAATTATTCAAAAAATTATACAAATAAATATAAATATACAAATAAATATAGAAGTAAATATACAAATAAATATACAAATAAATATACAAATAAATACCCAAATAAATATACAAATAAATACCATTTTATTATTGTTCTGCCTTTGGCTACTCTACACCAATTACGAAAAACTGCCCCTTGCACTATCTTCTTCCATTCTGCTCTGCCCTCCACCTTTCCTCTCCATCGTCTTACACCCATTCCTCTTAGATCCTCCTCAACATCACCCACACCGACAACCGAATTCTCCACATCCGCGAGTGGACGCTCTCCGGGCGGGCAACCAGAGCGCGTACGCGCGCAGTTCCAGACGCGCCGGCGGGCATCAAGGTGGCGGCGCGCTCGCCCACGGCGCTGGTGGTGAGCTGGCTGGTGCCGGCGCGCCCCAACGGCCGCCTGCTGGGCTACACGCTGTACTGGCG